CTTAATTTTCTTGGTTTCCATAATGCTTATACATTTTCCATACAATATGCAGTGTATCTCAGGTCTAAATATGAATAATTAATTTAAAACATTCCTATTTTCTAAACTATACTTCTATCTTCTTTTAATTTTGAACATAAATTCTTGCACACTTAATTTATCACGCTTTCCATGGACAAATTTTTATCAGAATGCAATACGTAAGCTAAGAAGTGTTTATTACGTGATTAATTTACATTGTAAGTAAGCATCTGCGTATTTTTACTTAAATACTTATGCACTATAAGGAAAGACTTGCATATTGAAAATATTAGCAAAAATGTCAGTGATATCTTTTACAGCAAAAATACTCATTTATAAAATTTTTCTTTAAGTAAAAAATCCAACACTTGCAATACATTTCATTTATACTTTCTTGCTTAAATAATGCTGACCTAATTTCAAACAGTCGATATATTTAGTCAGTTATTGTTTATTATTTAGCTAATTTGTAATTAGATATCTAAATACGTAAAATATTTAAAATAAAAAACAAAATGTTAGTGAAAAGAATAGCTTTTCATGGTGAAAAATTTCGATTATTATGGATAATGTGGGATACCATTATTAACGATAACTGCAATAATAGAAGATCATCTACTGCTACATCATTTGTTCGCACTCGTGAGTTCTTCTTACCAATATTCTGTATCTGAATGACTAGCAACGTAAAATACATTTCAATAACAGTTTTTATATTTCTGAGAACTTAAACAAGTCAAATTTTTTGTATCATTTAAGAGTAACGCTATAATTTGATAGATAAGTATAAAATAAAATAGATTCATTTATTCTATCAATAAAAGGGTATTGTTTTTAGTATTTTCATATATTACAATGATTAATCACTGGCCAAGCAAAGTTCACGTTGAATTCAAATTAATTCAAAATAAAATAATTTTAATTTTTGTAATAGGATTATTTATTGAAAATATCAAAGATTACAGTGTTGTGTGGTGCTCCATTATTTTCTTATTCGAAATATCGTTCATCTAATAGTCCATTCAAGTTCACTCAGTTCTGCAGCTATTCAGCATTACCAACGTGTTCTAAACAAGATGAATTAGAAGTATTCACGCAAGAATCTTATCCATTTCCTGTAAGTATCAAAATTAAAACTTTATCTCAAATTTTTGTAGCCATTAATAATAAAAATGTCAAATTTTATGATTACAGTATATACAAACACAATTTTGATTTTTTATTCACTCTATAATGGATTTTAAATTGGTAAAATATAAAAAATGCAAATATTATCACAAATAAGTGTTGCATTTTTTTTAAAAAAACAAACATAATCATTTGATATTAATTTTGAGCAGTTTCAATGATTTTTTAAGCATTTTATATTTCGACGAACTTTTCAAGCAATTAATAAATAATAAGTAAATTATAATAAAACTAAGCAGTTAATAAATGTATTCAGAAACGAATGCACAATAAAAAATTATTAATTAAATGTTATTAAGCTGATATTAAATAATTACAACGATTATTGTTATTTAACTAGAATGATTGCAATGAATGGACTGAATCCGCAAAGGATAATTTTTTGGGTAATAACCAAAAAAGAAGTGCATCAATGCTTAAAATGGATTATCAGTCGAGAATGGTTAATTTTTTTTCTGTTTTGCTCACATTTTTGCACATATAAGGCAATAAATTTAAATAAATTACTGCATAATAAATAATAAATAAATTATAATAAAACTAAGCAGTTAATAAATGTATTCAGAAACGAATGCACAATAAAAAATTATTAATTAAATTTTTTATTAATAATTATTTATTGATTGATTCCGAGCAAATAAATTAAGGATTCTAATAATTGAGCAAAAAAAGCTTTAGTATTATTTCAAGATATATGTAATGAATACTACTTGAAAGCATATTATTATTTTAGTATTAGTAATATTTGATAACTTTTAAGAATAATAACGTTTATGATTCCGACCAAATAAAAGAATACTACGAGAAACTTTTATGTCAACTAACTATGAGTAATTCGACGTTGATGCGTGAAAATCAAAGGTATCAAATTCGATTCCAAGTACGTATTTATTTGCAAATTCATTTATTTGTCGTATACGCCATTCTCTGTAACATTTAGTAAAATATTTGAAGTTTCAATTTGCCACAGCATTGCTTACTTCAAAATTGTCATATTATATAAATTAATAGCTTAGTAAGAACTTATGTTTTTTAATTAATTTATTTATTTTCAAAAAATTACATACAATTTATTCATAATGCTTTAATATTATGTATTAAAATGAAATGTTACTTTTGATAATTTGAATAAAAGCTGTTTGAATAAACATAAGCATTATGATTAAATTGTTTCCGGTCGTTTTAAAAAAATATTATTGAAAAACTCAGATTTGTGCACATAATGATGATGAACAATAATAAGAAATTCTCTTGCAGCATTTGAAAATGCTTCTGGAAGACCATATAGATCATTTGAACAACATTTACTTCACACTTTTTTTAAATGGATTTAATGCTATACAATTTCCTGATGGTCAGTTTTATTCAAGAGCAAGAGAATTATATACTCATAATTTGTAATCATAGTTCTGAAATATTGTTACTATTAAATATCGTTATTGTTATTATTAATTATTATTAGTAGTGTAATATATATGTCAAATTTTTTATAAAAAAAGAAGCATGAAAACTTTGTAAACGTTTCATATTGACTCTATATTTTTAAATAAACTACTGTATAAAAAGTTTTAATAAACTGTTATCTGTACAGCTTTTAAAAAAAGAGCATTAAATCTTTACTTTAAAAATTAAAGTTTAGGTCAAAGCGTGGATTTAGCAAAATTTCAAGGAAAAGAGTTGAAAATGATCAAACGAGAGAATATCCTACAAGATACTAATTTAACTCTTACATCAAGTAATGATGCTGAAGTTTTCTACAACTTCTTATTTCAAATTTATTCATCAAAAGAATCTTGAAATAATACTTCACTATGAGGAATCCTAAATTCAATATGAGTACTGAAAACGATCCTTTGAATACATACTTGAAATGAAAAAAAAAGTAAAATTAAATAACTCCAAATTATAAATAGCAAATAACTATGAATTGTTTCTTTAGTACTATTCTTTTTGCAGATAATATCCAGTTTAACAGAAATGAAGCTAAAGCACTAGCAGAGGTATGTCAAATATTATTTTATCAAATATTTCAAGTCACATCATACTGTTTTCAAACATTCAATATCACTTATTTCAGATATTCAAGAAAGGAAAAAATGTGCAGAAGCAGTAAACTGATGCCAAATACATATGAATAATCATAACATTATGTTTAGACGAAACTGCAGATCAGCTGAAATATTTGACTGAAGAAACTGAAATGCTGTTATTACTACACCCGAAATTTAATCCTTGGTTAATTGAAAACTATCTATTCATATTATTTATCTATTATAGTACAAATTTGTAAGAAATAAAATTAGTTAATATTACTTTGTAATATCGAAATCTACAAAATCAGTTTCAGAATATTAATTCTCAATACAATTTCATTATAATATCTGCAGCAATCAACAAATTAAATGAATGAGAAGCAAAGTATTTATCAGTACATATTAGAATCAAAATTGCATCTATATAAGAACAACATGGGACAAAAACATATTTCAAATTGTACAAACTATATTTTTAATGACTCAATTTTAAGAAGAAGGTACATAAAATGGAAATTATTAAATTTTGAGAGGAGTAAGATGAAAATGAGCCACGAATTGCATGGCTACAAATAAGATTACATACGTATATATATAATGCAACAAAATCAAACGAATAGATAAATGAAAATTAAATATTTAAAAGATGATCGTATTAAGCAATCAAAAAGTTATATGAAGAGAAGTACAATAAGGAATATAGAGAAATATATGATGTGATCAAATTTGAGATCATAAACTATCCATTCTGAACTACGAAAAACAAGATAGGTCAGATATTTATTGTCAAAAGACTTTAAAGGTCTGTGGCTGAGTAGAAATTTTTTTGTAATATATTAGAATCTCAGATTCACAGATCTACATAAAACAGGATTATTAAATTTACAACATCAAAACAAACAAATCTTCTGTAAAAAATATAAGTAATAAAAGACTGACTAGTCACGTTCGTTTTCAACCTCTTCAATTGTTGACGAACTGGTAAGTCGTATTCGCCGACGAGGTCCTTAACTTTTTAAGAGTACTTTTTATTTGCCAAAAAAAAACAAGAGTTAAGTGAAGTGAAAAAAAAGTATGGACTTTATAGCTCTAAAACGCAAGTATATTTTCATTTCCATTATTTGAATGTGTAACGTAGCAATCAACTAACTATTTTTTACTGGAAAAACTTCAATTGCCGATAGGTCATCAAAATCGAATGTGAGCTGAAAATAAGATTACAAACTTCAAATATGATGACGGACTTCATAAAGTAGTTAATTAAAAAGATATATAGCAAGCAAAAATAAAAAACTAGCCTCGTTCATAGTATGTTTTGGAGTTGAAATAGCTCTCGCTGGTAGCTCGCATTCTTCATCTAATATTCTAGACTGCATTCCCAAACTTGATTGCTCACACATGGGGGCCTCGGTTTGAGCATTCTTTTCAATACCATTTGTTGGACGCTGTTAAAAAATCACATGTTTCCAAAATTTCGATAGGAAATGACTACTAAAATATTCTAAAAGCCAAAGAGTTACTTAAACCAATACCCTTATATATTTCTGGTATGAATCGCAATGAAATTTGAAAACGATATAAAGAAAAACATACAATTTGATCGACACTTTCTTCTTTGGTATCATCTATTTCTCTTTCTTCTTCAACAATTTTTTCTAATTTTATACTCTTCTTACGATTTTCATTTGTTAGAACTCCGTTCGAAAGTGAATCTGCTAATATAAATACAATCTTAAATTTTAAATAAAAACACGAAACGAATTCAAAAACTCTCTCAAAAAACATCTTTTCATGTCATGAAAAGTATGATATCAGCATTACCTTTATTGCTTAAAGTGACTTTTTGCACAGCTGCTACCAAATCTTCTTCCTGTTTAACTACTTCTTCTGCTGTTTTAGACGCAAGTTGCGACGGAGATACTATAATATTATCGGCAGCCAATGAAACTCTTTTATCATTTGAGGAAAGTGTTTCCAGATGATGACTATCCTTGTTACCATCTCTCATTCTTCGCTCCTTTTCCTCAAATACAAATCAATGCTATCATCACTACAATAAAAATACGGACTCAATCAATGAAAAAAAAACCTACTTAGTTTTTAAGCTTAAATTTCGTTCTTCACAATGACTAGAAATATACAACTTCACACGAATGTTACACGATTCTAATTGTTTTCTTACCGTTGAAGTAAATCCCCAATTTACAAATAGTGATCAAAAATCTATGAAAACAAGATGATGAAAAATAACCTCAAGTTTAGCGAGGTCGAACTTTATTTCTGCTTTCAACTGCTTATCACTAGCTAAGAATTCATCGAGCTCCTCACAATGATCTTTGCATAGTTCTCTGAATGAAAATTACAAATATGCACAAATCACATCTGATCCTTGATAGATATGAAAACAAATTATGCAAAATAAAGACCTCAAAACTCTAACGATTCCCCATTCCAATTCATATAAACGTTTTTCTTGAAGGTAGTATTTAAATTGTATAATATGAGGTAAAATGGCATCAATAATGCCTTTACGAAACGCCTGTGTCACAACCTTTTTAGCTGCTTCCTGAAATCCAATTTCATACCATGCTTTAAAATTCTTCCTTCTCTCATGTTTTATTCAGACTTGTCTTCTCACAAAAAATTACTTGACGAATAAAATTAAAATGAACAGTACTTGAATTTTAATTCAAAAATTCAAGATTTATCAAGCAAAACACACAACATAAAATTACAAAAAATCTACCTGCACACTGGATGGTGGTTCATCATCATCTTCATCTATGTTATTTGATGACGATTTGCCCAATGCCATAGATAATTTCATTTCAGGGCAACACATTACCTGACATTTTAAAATGTCAAAAAGAATAAAACATGCATAAAAACTCTAAAATGAATTGAAAAATATCACAAAATTCCATAATATAAGCTGACACTACATACGTCATAACAATCTCCTAGTAAGGCTTTAACTTTCTGATCGTTTATATCGAGTATTCCATCTACTATCGACGAATATACTTCCTGGCTTATTCGCAATCCAACTGTAAATTTATTCTCATCGTTGAATGTCTTCATCTAAAAATTTAAAACAATTAACGTTTCACTGACAGTGTTTTCACACAATCAGTTTTATCTTTTTATATGTATAATTATTTATTCTGCACATGAAATCATTAGAATTAACACGATGAATAACCGAGATGAAAAATACTCATACCATGAATTTGTAAAGCGTCAAGCGTGCATTTTTAAATCGAGTTCCAGAGAGAGAATATTTTAATTCTTCTTTCGTATCTTCTTCCATGACTAAAAATTAAAAATAGATGGAATTTTTTCATAAACTAAAATCTTAATCAATGACAAAGTGTGACTTACCATTCTTCATGGCCAACCATGACCCATGTACTACTGAATTGAAGTAAAAAATACACTCCAAGAAATGATTTATAAACATATTTGGAAACTGCACAAGCAAAACATCTATCTGAAACAAAATTAGATCGTCTTTATAAAATAAGAAATTATGAAGACAAACAATGAAATAATGTTTGTGCAACTGTTTGACAATTTTTTCTTTTAATTAACTCACCAAACACATTTCCGCATAATCTCGTACTTCTTTATTTTCATCTAAAATCGTTGACACAAATCTGTACATAATCTGCAATAATATTTAAAATAAGCTATAGTAGTCATAATATGCAACACTGACACAATACACGCTTACCTGTCCTTCCCAACGTATATATTGTTCTTTCAAAAGATGTGTTAGTAACATCAACGTCTGCTTCCGCACAAGAGTGGATGAATCCTTCAAACAAGAAGCCACTATTGCACTATGACGATCAACTAACAAAGTGTATCTAAAAGTAGAAAGTAATTTGATAGATTTTAAGTCTTAAACTTTCAAATTGAGCAACATCATTTGTAACTTCGTAAGATTGAGAAACCTTTTACAGAGGTCGCAAACAACACTAACAATATTGCTTCGCACCAAATGATTGGTGTTGACTAGAAGCTGACGTGAGAAAACTGGAATACATTTTTTTGCCAATTTTTCGTCCTATAAAAAAAAGGATAAAGATCGAAAATTATTGCTGCAAAATAAATGATCTGAAATATTTTATCAGATACTAAATTTAATAAATACTTACCTGAAGACACATCTTTCCAATGGTCAAAACTGCTTGAGCTCGCACAGCAGGACATAACAAATCCAAGTTAGCATTAGAATGACTTGACGATGTTTTGCCTGACCCTTGAATAGTTGGCTGTGACCAGCGAGGTTCCTGGTTTTTATTAGTATATGAAGAGCCTTTAGCTTTATTCGAAGACTGACTGGAAACTCTGAATTCTTGCGAAGATGGACAACTGACTGTAACAGTATGGTTTTTCTGTGTATTATTAGCAGCATGCTGCGATCTGTCTTCAAGCCGAAGTTGTTGCTTATCATTTTTAGTGTGAACCTTAATACAGATAATTAAATTAAACTTTATAAAGTCATAAAACTAGAAAGTTACAATAATAACAGTTTTGAAATACTTTTAATAGATATCTCTTTAATACCGATCTTCATTTACCGGTTTCTGACTGCTAATTTAGATATGATATTTTCTCTTACTTTTAAGACATCAAAATATATAACATGGGTCGGATAATTAACTCTTTCAACTAAACAACCTGAGAGGCTGAATGACAAAGCTAATTTGAAGGGTTAAAATGTTAAACATACAAATTGAGAGGCTGGTTGGCGAAGTGAATATGACGATGGCATTGTATTCAGCACAGTGCCTCCAAATATAAAAGCTTTTAAAAAAAATTTATCAAGTCTCTCTAGATTTTCAGAAACTTTAAATGAAATATTTCAAATACTTTGTGATTTGAAGCTATTTAATAGCAGGAATTGAAATGGTAGCACAATTATTTTATATAAGATTATAAATTCAAACGTAGTCATCAGCCTGCAGATGCAGATGTAGATGAATTCATTTAATATTACCAAATTTAATGAACCTGTCTGAGTTAGTTGTTGCTGTATCACATCGGACGCCACTATTAGTTTCATAATATTAAATACTCTGGGATCCGTGTTTAATAAATTAGGAGTATACTGAACTGCTTCGCCCACTGAACTTACGATACGTACAAGAAACTGCGCTGATTTGAAACTTTAAATATTTGAGTTTTTGGTGAAAGCAAAAAATGAAAGACATGAAAGAAAATGGTTCAACTTATGATACAAAACACACTTTTGTTCCTTAGATTTATTTTCTTGTGACAACTGCACTTCACCGGTCACATCAACAGAAGAAAAAATTGTATTGTGCAATAATTTGAGAGATTTTTCAATTAAAACACGATTGAATTCATATAATTGCTTGGCTCCTGGGCTTTCATCACTAACACCATTGCAAAGACGAGCGAATGCGTAATAGACGTGAGAAATGTGGCCTTCATTGACACTAGAATTTAAAATGCTTGGTAGAGCAAAGAAAATAGCAATTTGAAATCAAAAATAATAAAAACACAAACTAGAGCTGTTGAATGTCTTCACGTGCCCTACCTGAATTCATTAAGCTTTGTACCAATATTATTTATTAATTCATCTCGGTCTTTCTCACTTATACGATCGGCAGAGCTCGCAATAACTTCGGCCACATAACTACATAAGTTAGTTTCCATACTGTGATCCAGTGTATACCAAAAACGAACAGCTAAAGACGCATCGATCTAAACAAAGTTGGAAAGCAATGATGTAATAACATCTTAAAACATCAATGCACTAAACAGTGAAACTAGCACTTAATTTATGAAAAACATCAAGACTGAGAAAATGTAGACAATTTCGATTTCATCCATTCAACCTACATAAATTTTAACAATAACTTCTGGACCAGTAAAATAAACGTACTTTGAATATACTGCTTAAAAAGTTCAGTAACATCCAAACAATATTAACAGTGTCGGAATCACCTTGCTTTTTTAGCAAAATATTGACAGCATTTTCAGTTAGGTCTCCTTCTTTTGCTTGATGGATTAAACAACGAAATAATAAGCGTCTACAAATACATTTATCATTCTTGGTTATTTTAAATTTTGGTATAAATCTGCAGTATCAACCAAAAAATTTATGAATGAAGTATTAAAAGACAACAACCTATAATCAACTTCTTGCTCTACGATTTTCAAAATACGCCAGGCAATCGGAGAAGCATCTTCAAAAATTGGTAAAATGAGTGTTTGCTAAAATACATTAGCAATTATAATGATACAAAAACTTGAATCAAATCAAAAACAGAACTGTGTGTTAGTGTCCAAAATGAATAATTAAAAAATTAGGTTGAAGATTCCAAATTTGAGCTTACTAGTACTAATTTGGAAACTAGCTGTACAACCGATTGCTCGCGATCGTTAATTAGAGGTAACACTGAAGAAAGCCAAATTTTATCCAGCATATCGTAATTCATACCAAATAAAATTAATAAATGGCTCAATGACTCTGCAGTTTGTTTCCTAACAAGAAGTGATGGATCTCGACAAAGTTGCTGCAAATTTGAAGCAAGACTAGAAAAAAATTTGAAGCATAACAATGCATATACTGATCTTTAAAATAATTGCTAAAACATGGCAAACCCTAAAAATTGGTGTAAATTCTGTCTGCTGAGATTTAGGCAAATATGGAAACAGTGATTCAAAAGCTATTATTGCTGACTTCCGCGTCGATACCTGAAAGTATATTTTTAGAGCTGCACAAAGGGCTATAAAAAGAACTTTAAGTAGGATTTCATACAAAATTTTCCGGATATTTTTATCCCAAATTTCTTTCCACTTTTTTTCCACATCTGAAACCTTTTTTCGATTCATGAATGAAAAACAGAATTAGGAAAAACATCTTCACAGTTTGAAAAAGTGCTATATTCATACTCTTGCATCCAAACATCGCGTGATAATAATATTCAAAAGTACAGAGCCACCCGTAGTTTTTTCAATAATTTTCTCACTGCTATCAATAAAAACCTAGAAAAAAATTTTTTTTTAATTTTCACAGTAATAAATCTCATAGAAAATAATGACTAAATATTATTTTTCTTGGTGAAAAAACAGTATCATGAACAAAATAAAATTAAATCTTGGATTAATGCTTTAATTTGACAAACCATAGTGCTTGGAATATCCAGCAATTTATGGCGGATATTTTCATTAACAAGCAACAAAGCGATTTGCTGTAAAGCTCGAGCCCGTACCATAGGAGACTTATCATTGCAACCTCTAGCTAAAACAACCAAAATAGCACCGTATATCCCAATTCTTTCCACCAAATTATCACTGCAAGTGATTCGATCACTTTCTTATCACAAATAATCAATAATAATAAATTATGTGCGCCACTCTGCAGTAAAAATGTGTTAAATAAATCTGGCGAAATTCGTAGTAGAAGCACTAATTGAAAAAAGAGTTTAAAGAATAATCATTGATTACTGTAACAGACAAAAAAATGAAATCCAGCAAGAATTTTCCCTACTGTTGTAAATTTATTATATATCTAAAAATGGACGATTCTCAAAAAACTCGGATCCAATGTTTACCAGTACGCATCATATTTACATATATTATTATTATTCTTGCATTTTTTCATAAACTAGAAACCAATACCTCATTTTATTTTTTCTTTTTCCATTCAAACAAGCCTGTTGTTTGTCAGTTTGATTTTCTGAAATTCTAATGCCAATATGCAGGGCAAAACATGAAAAATTTTTCTGCAATGTCAAATTTGTGAAATGAAATCAATAAGTGTACCATTTTTGTCGGATCTACCAGTTTCTATTCCAGTTTGGTCAGCATTTTCATGATCCTCAAACAGATATATGGACTTATTCAGAAAAAATAACGAAAAATTCACACGAACAGTTGCACTTAACAAACAGCACTTGCCATATAAAAATGTGAAATACATGTTACTTTTTGATTTCTTACGAAGAAGTTCTAAAAATAATGAAGCTCAATTTTGCGCTCGAACAGAGTTCAAGTATAAATTATTCTTCTATGCCAAGTCATTACGAAATTAAAAATCATAATAAAGAATCCCAGCCTTGGTAATTAAATGAAATAGAATTTCAAAAAAAAAAGATACAAGATTACATTTTCTTTGATTTGGGTATCACTGTCAGTTTCTTTTCTGGGAGCATGTGAAGTCAAAGGCTCTTCAACACCATTTTGTTCCAGAACACAACCTCAATAATAATAATTTTAATACATGAAAAATCAAATATTTTAGTTGACGTACTATCAAATACAACATTCAAAGATTAATGACATGCAATAATTATGTATAACGGAAAAAATTTTTCATACAAAAATAAGAAAGAATTACGTTTACCAAATTTTCTTAAAATCAATGGCAAAATTTCAACACTGAAAACACGAACTGCAACTTTGGAGCTAGTAGCAATTGAACACAAAAACAAAGCAAAGTCCTGAAAACTTGAAAATAATAGTTTTGTACTTTTAGTCATCTGGAACAGTTTTTTAAATGAAGATTATCATTACTTTGACATATTTTGATGGTAAAAGAGCAAGAGTCTCAACAACAGAATTTGTCACTTTCACACGATAATCGGTACGGTCAGGACACCGATAACATACATTTTGAAGAACTAATAGAGCTGTCGAAAGCTCCTCTTGACAACCTTTCTAAAATTTTAATTTTAGATCAAATTACTTTCACAGATGAAGTTATAAAAGTGCAACACAAATTTGAATTACACTGTTTTAAAAGTTTCAATCCAAAAACAAGCTATAGCGTAACACTTGTTTCATCTAAGAAATGTACATTTTGAAGCACACTGTTCACCTGAATTCTTTTTTCGATAAATTTCAATATCACTTCTTTATAAGTGCTTATTAATTTTGGAGGATGAGCGTTAGTAGGAAATACAGTATTTTCAAGCGTCCAAAATAATAATCGAGGCATCACAATTCTTCCATAAACAATGTGAGAACTACCATGACGGCTATCAAGGAAACGATGTAACAAAGCAAACGATCGGTTGGAAAAACGTTCTAGTCCCTAAAACTTTCCTCTAACAATGAAATTTTGAGATGATCTAGCATCAGATTTAATTCAAGTTCTCAACATTTTGTGATGATTAAAGAACCAACAGGTTGTGAAGCTTTCATCATGTGAAGCAACAGTCTCTTCATCACTATTTGTTCTAAAACATAATCTCAATAACAATATTTTTAACGCATGAAAAATCAAATATTTTAGTTGATGCAAAAGAATACTTGGAAATCAGATAATCGTTCAAGTTCCAAGATTGACGTTGTTTCAGAGAAGTCAATCTGCATTAGTTGTTGCAAACAAACTGCGAGTAAAGTTGATGATTGCTGAATTCGTGACAGTGAAACTTAAATGAGAAAAAATAGATTTGATATCAAAAAATGAAAATACCTAGTTAGATCACCAATTTTCAAACCGAATCACTTCCGACTTTCGTTAAAAGCCATGTAACACATAAATATTAATTAACCTCTTTCTAAAAGGATGAATAGTGGATCTAATGCATCAGAGAGCATACATTTCAGTTCTGCCTGTTGCTCCAAAGTAAGCTGTTCGAAATCTGAAAAATAAGGCAATTTCTTGATTAAAACAGAGATAAAAAAATCAGCAAATGAGAAAACTCTACAGTGTTTAATATTGTTTAGTATTTCAAGTTATTCAGACTTTCCGAATCCAAATTATTCGTAGCTTATGTAGATAATAACTACAATAAACCTGTTTGGTCCATTTTCGTACTTTTTGTATTGCGAGAATCACTTTTTAGATTCGTGCGTGAATTTTTTCCACCAAGATTTTTGGAAACTTGGCTGCTCTTAAGCAACCTTTGAATCATGAGCAATTCTTCTAAAGTTCTCTGCAATAGATACAATCCATTAGTCTCATAGAAAAAATGGATTTTAAATTCAGTAAAAATTTAAAGATCACTTGGAAAAGGTAATCATTGAAAATATTGAATGCTTGTGCTCCATTCAAACAACATATTGAAAAATAAATTCGAGAACCAATCAGTCCAAGTTTTTGTTCATCCAAAGAACTGCAATAAATTTAATGCGATGGATTGATATGATGCCTTCTTACTTTTACATTATTCTGAAGAGTCTTAAACAATGAGAATACAATGACAATGAGACAATGAGAATATCATCTTGTATTAGCGCGAAAAAAGAAAGTATTTTTATAGTGACTTACGCTAAAAAATTGAATACGCAGAACGGATTTTGAAAATTATGAATCTGCAAAAGTATTTTAGTTGATACGGAATAAAACATTATAAGGAGACTTACACGTTTGATTGTTGTCCTCTCTCAATCAAGTACCAAGCAAAGACGCACAATTTCTTAGCATTGAAGTTTTTCGTTGTCAGTTCATTCCATATTTCAGTCGAAATCTCTGATTGATTAGCAAATAGTATTAAGCAAGAACATACTGAAAAAATTTGAAGGAAATAATTTTTTGATTTGAGTACTGAATAAATTAATAATTCAAGTAATATTTACATTCTGAGAGACGTAGCGAATAGTCAAAAGCTTGAAGAATTGAAAATTGTACAGCTTGCGCAAAATTACCAAATTCCGAAAAATTTTCTTCAAAGCTGAAAAAAGTACCAACAATATTACAGCACGAACTCACAACAATAATACAGTACTATTCAATCTATTTCAGAAAATTAATCTGAAAACAGTACAGACAAATTTGAATAACTCTACAAAATGAAAAGACAACGTTGAAAACAAACAGAAAAAGTACTTACCAAGTGGTAGTCCATTCATCAGTAACTTCGTTGAATATGCTACTTATATTGTCCAGAGTATCTAGCAATTTCTCTTTTTCTTCCATTAAATAATGAACTTACTAAAACGCAAAAATTATTCGATAATCTAGCATTTCAGTTTTTTGCAAGGTTTCATAAATTTTGTGAAAATCAATAAAACAATAACTGCACCATTTTAGTAAGCAGAAATCATATAAGATAGTTAATATAATAGAGATTTTACTTAAAATCACAAGGATATCAAAAATTATCAAGGCACATAAAACATTTAAAAAATCAGAAAAGTTCATTTTTAATCAAATGACTGCAATTTTGAATATTTACATACAAATGTCATAAATTTATCAACAAAAATAGTTATTGCTTAAAAAACAAATGTTTAAAAAACTTCAATGTCAGCTTTAACAAAAATTAATTACTGCCTCTTAAATTTAAAATTTTCCAGATGCATAATTCCCACCAAAATATTCTGGCATGAATTTTTCATCTATTGCAGCTTAATATTTGAATGACTATAATCCACACAACTACTTTTTCAGTGTGTTACTGGTACTTTCTCTAGTATATGTACTTTGAACTTTAATTAAGGCCTAGCTTGAATCATCAATGACGTTAAATGTGCGTAAAAACACGTTTTTGCTTGTACTTCAGAGTAACATTTTACTTTTTGGATTATTATCAAAGTTGGCAGACCTAAGAGTGTGTCGTGCGTATGTTTTTTCTTCATTTCAGAGAAACCTGTCGTTTTTTGTTTATTTTTGTAAGTAGAAGGAAATTTCTTGATGTTGTCTTCTTCATAATATAGTTTTATAATATTTTTTCATTCATCCAATAAAAATACAAGATTTTCTAATGAAAAATTTTTAACTTTAAGATTTTTTAAATTTATTTTTCAAATATATTTATAATTTGATTACATTATATCATAAATAGCAAAAAGCATATTTAAAAACAGTTTTTGTTTTTTAGTTTCAAAATGCTCTGTTATCTGAAACATTGCCATTAGAAGCTATGCAGTGTTCACGTACAAAAAACTGAAGAACATTTTTTAAATAAACTATTTGCTTTCCGCTTCTAAAAATGCTAGCACCTTTTTCACAGTTATCACTATTAGAATCTATGCGTAGAGTCTTATGTGTTAAACAGTTAATTTATTGCCATTTTCTTTAACTATTTGTGAGTTATTGCTTTTCTTTATAAATTGTTAACACATAATATTTTATCAATTTCGTATAAATAAAGTGAAACTTTTGCAGACAAGAATGACTACATATTTGCATTTATATGCGTTTCATTAAAATAAATAGATGACAAAATGACGTCAAAAAAAACGCGAAAAAATATCAAGGAGTGCGGAACGAAGATTAAAGGTCAAGATATTTCGAGCTTCGAGCCTTTACTTTCCGAAGCTGCTGATATTAATGTTTCAAATTCTAGAATTTCTGGGATAGTACAAAGTCGGGCAAGTTTTTTTATTTCAAATGTTAGATTCCGGTTGTTATATCAAATATCTGAAACGTGATAGTCTAATTCTTTAAAAGTTCCTCGGATCAGAATACAGGTGAAGTTCAAAAATTTTTCACTGAAATTGGAATTGTACAGTGTTAATTTAGAAACTTATAAGCCTGTATATTGATTACTTTAGGAAACTTCAGATTGATTGAACTTTATTTTTCAAAGTTGTTACTTATGTATGGTACGTGTGTATATGCAACATTTTCTGGATAATTCTTTGAATACTTATTTATTGATGAAGCAAATCTGAAATTAATTTATTATTAAGAAACTGTTAGGTATGTATTTGTACATATAAAAGTAAATAATAGTTCATTATATCTCGTTTCTAAAGATAATTAAGTTTCAGGATTTAAAAGCTGGAGTTGAAAAGACTGAAATGATGCATAGCAAAGACAGTGATGAGCCGGTACCTTCAACATTATCTGAAAGTAATAATGGAAGAAGGACTCATTTTCGAGTGGGCTCAATTTTTCAAAAATTAAAAAGTTTACTCATGAAATTTAAAGTGTATTATAAACTGTCGAAGAAGTATATGTTCCAAAAAATTTTCTCTTTCCATTAAATTCCAAAATAGCACTTTCTGCAAAAATCTATAATGTGGTCTTCATATGTGAATAAAATGTATTCAACAAAACTATGTGTATATTTTGATTATTTGATCAATTTCAACTGTCAGAGTCAAAACTTCAAATTTTGCAGCTCCGATCATCAAACGGAACAGTAGGACGCGAATTTCATTCTCACAGTGACGTTTGGCATCCAGCTATTGACGATGCGGAAATGCTCGAAAATCAGAAGTGCCCTTTTGGTCAGTTATATTATATATCTAATTATGTTCGTTTTTTCACATGCTTTAATAAAATGAGGATCCGTGTAAATTTCGAATTTTTGAATCATAAAGTTTGTTAAAACAAGAATATTGTTCATTGTGGTTGTGAATATGAAGCTGCTTTGGTTTATTATCACCAAAAACTGTTGTAAGAGGTGAAAAAAATTTCTGGCGTTCCTCAAATATTGTTGATTTAAAGAAAAAAATTGTAGGTTTGACAGGATTAAGAAATTTGGGTAACACATGTTATATGAATGCAGCAATTCAGGCACTATCGTATTGTCTTCCTTTTTCCGATTTTTTCCGCTCACTGGATTCTGTTTTTCCATTCTCGTCAAAGATGATAGATGGTAACAAAGAACCGCCAGTTTCAAGTTCATTCCGTATTTTGTTACAAGCACTTTGGTCCGAGGAACGCAGTAGTTACATTAATCCACTACCTTTCCTTGTGGTATTTTCTCTTCTTGAATTGATGCACCACATATTCATGCAAAATAATAGTGATTGTAACATCTTTTTTTAGAAATAATTGTTCACATTTTTGCAGCAATTTCGTCACTACTGCCCTCAATTTCGAGGTGTGACTCAGCAAGATGCTCAAGAATTCATTAGGTGCCTTCTGGATATATTGCATCGGGAACTGCGTCAACCTGTCTTTGCTGTAAGTTTGTTTCGTCTGTGAGCTTCTATATTTTTTCGTTCGGTGAAGTCTTTCAACTTCTGCAAGTCTGATTTATAGTGGGAATATCGGAATGTTGTGTGTGATATAAAAATAGAAGCCAGTAATTACTACGCTGCACGAAGTAGATATCCGCCTTCTCGTTGTAGTAGCCGAACATCTGGTGGTGATGATACACGATACGAAACAGCTGATAGCGGTTGGAGCTCTGATGGAGTAAGTTAATTCGTTCAGCGAATGTTCTATTACTACTTAGTATTCTGTTTGGCTTAAATTTTTTTTCTCTCCTTATAATTTTAGGAGATTGCTCCAACTTCAGAAGAAGTGCAATCAGAAGTAATAGCTGATAGTCAGCCATTAGAAATCTCGGACAACTCTTCTGATAACCAGCTATCAGTAGAAATTAACCAGGGTAATCGTGTTTTACTTGTTTAATTGTATCATATATCCACTCTTCTTTGTTATTGTCAAATTGCCATATAGATTACATGTTTTTTACATTCAATTTATTCTCACTGGCATGCATTTAAGAAACAAAGTAAAACGGTCTATTTTTTCAGAGAGCAAGAAAATAAACTCACCTATCTATTATCGAAGTTTAGTGACGGAAGTTTTTGATGGGCAGTTACGTAGTACTGTTAAATGTCTCACATGTCATAATCTTTCGGAAACATATGAAACTTTTCAGGTTAGTTACTTTTTAGGAAATAATTGGAGTAATGGGTTGTTCTCTTATATGGTGGAGTAATGGATAGTTTTTAAAAAAATATTTTAATTATAATTTCAAACGAAGCCACTTCAGTTTTATATCTTCGCTTCTCATTGCAGGATCTATCTTTGAGCATTCCAACGAAAGAGCAGCTCGAGCATATAGTATCGTATGCTAGAGATATAAATGTGATGGACAAAATGAGAAATTTTGTAAGTTTTAGGGAAATTCGACTACTTCAAAAGAGGTGCTTTTGCTTTTTGTAAGTAATAAAGTTTAATTTGAAGAGAGTCCCCAGCAATGATTACAAATTTTGGCAGTGGCCATGGTGGCTCGGAGCGGGATTATTGCGTTCAATCTATCGTTATATATATACAGATTTGATTTCATTGAATGATGCATTTGCTGCGTTCTTCTCACCTGATGATCTTTGTGGGGACAATATGTACTCGTGTGAAAAGTGTTCGAAGTGCGTAAAGTTTTTTTACTTAAAGCACTTGAAAAAAGTTTTGTTTCTCATATTATTGGACATGAAATATGAAATTTTGCGGTACTCTATAATAATTCTGTTTTGAGTTCATTCAGTGCTCAGCAACTGTTTCTTTTCCCATTTATGATCTTGATTTGACACCATTCACTAATACTTTCGAGCAAAACAGTGAATCTCATTTTTTAGAAAATTCATGCTGAATCACATAAAAGTTGATGTGCTTTAGATTACGAAATGGCATTAAATTTTGCAAGATTATCAAACCACCAGAAATCTTGTGCATTCATTTAAAACGGTTTCGACACGACATGTCATATTCAAGCAAAGTCTGTCTTTTTGGACTTTTCTAAATTATGGTTTTTATATGATTAATAAAGTTACAGATTATTATTTTATTACTCCACTTGAAATTAGAAGCGATTTGTAGATCTCAACAACTGTTACTTTTCCCATTTATGATCTTGATTTGACACCATTCACTGAAACTTTGGAGCAAAACAATGAATCTGTGCTGTATGATCTTGTCGCATTCATCACTCATTACGGGGTAAATGCCGAAAGTAAGTTCGAGCATATTCCGTGGGTAGAAGTTTAACTCTTCACTGTATTCTGTTGACATATTTAGAGTAGTTAAATTATTTTTTTATTTGTAATTTAAATCATGTCATATTTTGTTTTTCCACATGCACTGAGTTAGTGAACGCTGATGATTTTTTCAAGGTGGACATTATGTTGCTTACTGCAAAAATGAAATGAATGAAAATTGGTATGAATTTGATGACTCGGTAGTGACTAAATTGGAAATCGCCGAAGTAATAACTAAGGAAGCTTATGTGCTATTTTATCAAAGACAGTCATCGAAGAATATGGATGAGATTAAGAATCGTGTCAGACAAATGCTTGAGGAAGAAATGATGAATAATACAAAAGTTTGTAGTGCAGTAACTTTTCTTTTTTTGTTAAAAAAATATTCATGTATTTCTTGGGTTTCCTGTTCTTTTCTTATTTATAACCGATAGAGCAATGAATCTTTTTCACTATACTAGAAGAAGTTAGTTCAAAATCTTTACTGCTTTTTAAGATGAAAGCTGTTCCACATCATTATGTTTCTCGTGAATGGCTGCATCGTTTATCAACATTTTCAAATCCTGGACCCATCACGAATCATGACTTCCTTTGTCAACATTCACAAATCCTTCCGCGCAGAGCTGCTCATCTTACTGATTATTATGTAGCAATCAGCAGTTCTTTGTGGGACTTTTTTTTCGAAAAGTATTTGTTTAAAAATATTTCACAGACAAATGCTGTGTATCTTTACATTAAAGATTGTTTTCTCTAACATCGTAATTAAGATTCGGTGGTGGCCCCGCAAGCTCTGAATTACATTACTGTTTACATTGTCAAAGTGAATTTCAAATGATGAAACATAAGCGCGAAAATGAGTTCAAGACGTTCATAGCATTGGAAGCGCGGTTAGGCAGATTGAAAGCTGATATTCCAGAACTTACGTATAATTATTATTTGCCACCCAATGTGATTGCGAAATCTTGGATTGACAAATGGAGGGCATTTGTTGAAGATAATGAATGCGGTGATTTAAATTAGTTCAAACTATTAAATATAATATCGTTTAGTATCTTCGAAATTAGTGCTAAAATTATGTCGTTCTACGAACGAATAAAATATTCAAAAATGAGATAAACTTAATACAAATTGAACATCATTATCCTCTGAAAATAAATATCTTTAGATGAAAACATCTCTTTATACCCTACTCCAGTTTTGTAAGTTTTTCTCTGTGGATTTTAATTGTTTCTTTAAAAACATGCAACCTTTTTAGAACCACCGGGACCTATTGATAATAGCATGCTACTGATTCATGATGCAAATCAAACAAAATTACGCTTGCGCACTTCACAGTATCTGCAGTTACCGCGAGAAATGTGGTTGTTCTTTTGTTCGATATATGGTGGAGGACCAGAAGTAAATTTGTTTTTAATTCCTGATATCTTTGATTTTTTGAAACTCACGCTACATTTTTTATATTGCCACGTTATACGATGTTGAAAATTCAGTAGTAACTGTTATTTGAATTGATGCTTATTGTAATTTGCTGTTCAATAACAAATTTCCAGTTGCTCTGTATCCCGGATGAACATCCGTCATCAGATAAATTACGAGAATTAATTGCTAGCGTTGATGAGAAGATAATGGAAAATTTCAAACGTTTAAAAAATGAGAGTGTAGCTGATATGTCAGTTTCGTCACCTTTATTTGTCGGTGCAACAAGTGAAAGAAACGATATTAATTCAGATCTGCCTTGTTCAGATTTTGTAACTGATGTCATGTTCTCGGAAAATTGAAATCATTTGGAATATTCGTGATCGATGTATTCTTGATATTTCTTCAAGTTATCTGAAAATTCCCAGCTGATATATTTTTTTGATTTCATTGTTACGTATTATTTATTATCGGCCGTGATCATCCTAAATTTATCTGTCAAGTTTTATCCTAAATTTTGTGAGATTTTATTTGATGTAATCGAGGTCACACTGTTTGCTTCTTTCTATCTTCTAGTCTTTCTGTTACGATGTTGAGTTTGACTTTACTTTTCTGACTTTCTATTGTTAAAATTTTTAGACTCAGAGGAATCATGCATTTCAAAATTTTCGTTTATGGTGGTTCATGTCGTCAGCAAGATGAAGAGATCGAAGTTTTTTGATAATTTTAATTGTCATAATTCTTTTTTAATGCTCTTTTTTGGTATTGGCTGTATTAATAAACAGTTGATGAGTTTCAGTTTGCTCTATTGTGAAGTACATCATTTATTTGTGAACAGGAAGTATCAAGTAGATTAACCAGAATTTCCCTATTAATTCCTAAGCAATGTAAATAAGCTGGAGATGGTCGGGAAGAAGTTAGGCCATATTAATAGGACATACTTGTGAACCCTTCACGGTCTTTGATTATGCAGAGATTGATGGGCTTGCAATTAGAATTTCGCATATCGTAAGTATTATGCAAATTTATTGTTCTGAGAGGCTCATAAATCAAGAAACTTGTGTTGAGATATTATTTTATATATGTAATTAGTCTTCGATCGGTACATTAAGGAGCAACGTCATGGTTGACGACAATCCGTTAGAGGGTATGCTCTGAATTCGTGTGGACTTTCAATAACAATTCATATATTGTGGTCAGAAGATTAGTTAATTAATATTAACTAGTTAATACAGAAATTCACTCTTGGATGTGCACTTTCAATTGGCAAGAAATGTATAGAAGCAATTGGAGAACTTTATGGTATAGGGTGAGAACTATTAACTAGTTAATATTAATTAACTAATCTTGAAATGAGATATGCTTAAGTCGAATCAGTTTGATTGGTACATAATGTAAATGTTTATTCAGGATTTAAAGTTGTTTATTTAAATCCGGGTGATATACTTGGAGGATGGACAGTTTTGGATAAGCTGGGTGAAGGTGGCTTTGGAGCTGTTTACCTTGTAAGTAAGTCGCAGTTTATTTTGTAATTATTTATAGTATTAATATATATTCAGAACTGTCGGTAATGAATTGTAGGTGAAAGATAGCAAAGGAAAAGAATACGCAATGAAAACTGAAAATATAAACGCAGTAGCCAAAGTAAGTCAGTGAGTACTTAAATATCTGTATAGAATATAACTTTTGTTTTTGATGAAGGAAGTGTACTTTACAAGATTTATTTTTACATACAAATAGTAGTTACACAGTTTTGATGTTTTGACAGAAGCCTTCATTATAAGGATTGTTGCAGTAACCAATTACCAAATGAAACGCAATGGGAGTTATTTTAAGGTACTGAAAGCAGAATATTATGTTTTGACAGAATTGAAGAAAGCGAAAGCGAAGCATTTTTGTGAGATATTGGATAGCGGTTTAGCTGGCGACAATAAATACGTGGTAATGACTCTTGTTGGACAAACACTTACGGTTGGTTTTATATATTTTTTTTTACTGAATGGTATTCGAACAAAAAAATTATAGAAGCAGTTGCTGGAGTAAGTATTTTGAACTAAAAAAATTATCTAAGAACGGAATGAAAGGTATTCATGAGAATCAATTCATTTTTATTAATGGGAAAAAAATGTGCTTGTAGGATTTGCGGAAGCATGATCCATCTGAGAAGATACAGAAATTCACTCTTGGATGTGCACTTTCAATCGGCAAGAAATGTATAGAAGCTATTGAAGAACTTCATGGTATAGGGTGAGAACTTGCTGGTATAGTTCCGTCTCTACGTATCTTATACCAAATGTGAGACTTAGCAAATATGGATCTGACAATAATTTGTTTTTATGATAATATATGATTACAGTGTGATATATTATGTTTTTCTTTCAGCTATTTGCATCGTGATATAAAACCTGGTAATTTCGCAATTGGTCGCAAAAATCTGCGCCAAATTTATTTACTTGATTTTGGCATGTGCCGAAAATATCTCAACAAGCAATCGACTGTACGTAACCCACGAAGAGCAGCTGGTTTTCGTGGTACTATTAGGTTTGGCTAGTCCATTATTTTTGGCACTTTTTCGAACGAAAACTAAATACTAAATACACTTTATTCTTCCTATTCTTTTGACTTATTTAAATGTCAATAGTCTAATCAAAATTCAAGTTATAACGTTTATACTAACTAAATTCTATATTGTATGAAGTTACTGTTGCAGATATGCAC